ACCTGAGACCTTCCGCAAAGACCCTCTGAATATAGATTCAGGTGGGTAGCCGTCAGTGTTCCCTCTAAGCTGAGAGTGAGCTAGCTCACAGTTTTTAGCCTCCGGCTCACACATTTTTGTCTTAGCTCGGGAAGGTTGGCTACAGAGCAAACTAATTTTGGTGTAGTGGTTAAGTGCGCGGACTCTAATCTGGGAGAACCGGGTTTGATTCCCCACTCCTCCATTTGCAGCTGCTGGGTGACCTTGGGCAAGCCATAGTTCTGGCACAGCTATTCTTGAAAAAAAGAGCAGTTTCTGTCGGAGCTCTCTCAGCCCCACCTACCTCCCAGAGTGTCTGTTGTGGGGAGGGGAAGGGAAAGGAGTTTGTAAGCCGCTCTGAGACTCCTTTGGGTAGTGAAGGGCGGGGTACACATCCAATCTCTTCTCTTCTTCTAATCTATGCAGGAGCCAAATCGCTCGCTCACACCTTTAATGCCAGGAGCTCACAAAGTAGAATTTTTGCTCACATGACTCCACAGCTTAGAGGGAGCATTGGTAGCCATGTTGGTCTGAAGCAAGAGAGAACAAAGTTTGAGTCCAGTGGCACCTTTAGGAACAAGCTTTATTCTGGGTACAAGATTTCGTGTCCGTGCACACTTCTTCAGATACACCGAAACAGACTTCCTGAAGTGTGCATACACGCAAAAAATTATACCCAGAATTAAACTTTGTTGGTCTTAAAGGTGGTACTGGACTCAAACTTTGCTCCTCTCTATATATTTATACATCTTTGTTTTCGGCGTGCTTTCTTGAGTCCCTCAAACACCAGCACAAACAAAGCAGCAGCCTATCCCTGTGGCTCCGTAGAAGAGCCTCTGTTTGGCAAGCAGAAGGCCCCAGGTTCAATCCCTGGCATCTCCAGTTAAAGGATCAGGGAGCAGATGATGTGAAGGACCTTGACCTGAGACCCTGGAAAGCTGCTGCCAGTTTGAGGAGACAGCAGGGGTCATTTCCTGTGGGAGTGCACAGGAGTGGAGCTCTAGCAGTAAGGAGCCCAGGGGGCGGGCACCTGCAACAAAGCCCCCTGCTCCTAGCAACCCTCAGTCAGGCCACCAGGAGCAAGAAGGAGCCAGGTACGTTCAGGAGAACTGTAGGCTATATTCCTACATCTCCAGTTAGAAGGACCAGGCAGCAGGTGATGAGAAAGACCTTGACCTGAGACCCTGGCTCAGTGGCAGAGCCTCTGCCTGGCGTGCAGAAGGTCCCAGGTTCAATCCCTGGCATCTCCACTTAAAAGGACCAGGCAGGAGGTGATGAGAAAGACCTTGACCTGAGACCCTGGCTCAGTGGCAGAGCCTCTGCCTGGCGTGCAGAAGGTCCCAGGTTCAATCCCTGGCATCTCCACTTAAAAGGACCAGGCAGGAGGTGATGAGAAAGACCTTGACCTGAGACCCTGGCTCAGTGGCAGAGCCTCTGCCTGGCGTGCAGAAGGTCCCAGGTTCAATCCCTGGCATCTCCACTTAAAAGGACCAGGCAGGAGGTGATGAGAAAGACCTTGACCTGAGACCCTGGCTCAGTGGCAGAGCCTCTGCCTGGCGTGCAGAAGGTCCCAGGTTCAATCCCTGGCATCTCCACTTAAAAGGACCAGGCAGGAGGTGATGAGAAAGACCTTGACCTGAGACCCTGGCTCAGTGGCAGAGCCTCTGCCTGGCGTGCAGAAGGTCCCAGGTTCAATCCCTGGCATCTCCACTTAAAAGGACCAGGCAGGAGGTGATGAGAAAGACCTTGACCTGAGACCCTGGCTCAGTGGCAGAGCCTCTGCCTGGCGTGCAGAAGGTCCCAGGTTCAATCCCCGGCATCTCCAGTTAGAAGGACCAGGCAGTAGGTGACGTGAAAGACCTCTGCCTGAGACCCTGTCTGAGTAGACAAAGCCGATGGTCTGATTCAGTCGAAGGCAGCTTTGTGTGTGGCCAGGATTCAGGAGTGCCTAAGGGAATGGGAAAAAAGCACTTCTGAGACCAAGCCTGTCACTCAGGAGTAGGCCGGTCTACACCAGAGACCCCCGTAGATGCTGCATGCATGTTTTGGGAAGGAAGCCTGCAGGAGAGCCTGGAGCTGGGCGGAGGCTCTCGCCCCCCTCCACCCGCGACCGATGCCCAAGCTGAGCCGGAATCCATCTGCACGGGAGTTTCAGCTCCCAGGTGAGCCGAGCCAACTGGAACTGCGTCAAGGTGTCTCTCTCCACACCTCCTCCTCCTCCTGCTGCCAGATCTGCCCGGGGCTCCAGCACTCCCCGCCCCGCCTTCTCCAGCAGGCTGCCTGGGCCGCTACCCCCACCTCCTGGCGCCGCAGGTGACGCCCTCCTCCTCCCGCTCCTTGCTGGGGAGAGTCCCAAGGTGCAGTTGGCTGTTCGGCGGGCTGCAGAAGTTGCTTTCCACACACACACACACACACACACACACACACTCTGTGGCCCGTTGCAGCCAAGTAGGGCTGTCAGCAATGTTCCCTCTAAGCTGAGGTAGTGTGAGCCAGCTCACAGTTTTTTTAGCCTCCGGCTCACACATTTTTTTGTCTCAGCTCAGGAAGGGACGGCTCCAGAGCCAACTCCCTTATGCAGCAGCCAAACTGCTTGCTCACAACTTTCATGCCAGCAGCTCACAAAATAGAATCTTTGCTCACAAGACTCCACAGCTTAGAGGGAGCGTTGGCTGTCGGCGTCTAGGTGGAGGCCTGGGGATCTCCCAGAATTGCAACGGATCCTCAGGCTACAAAAACCCTGGACTCCTGTCCAAGCCCCAAATCTCCAGGAATTTCTCCGCCTGGAGCTGGTGACCTCATCTGAGCACCCCAGGATAAGACCCCCTGCTGCCTCCTAGTCCGTTATCACAGAATGTTAGAGCTGGAAGGGACCCTGCAGGTCATCTAGTCCAACCCCCTGCACTCTGCAGGAGCACGAAAGATAGACCTACAACCAGTGTTCCCTCTAAGCTGAGTTAGTGTGAGCTAGCTCACAGTTTTTTAGCCTCCGGCTCACACATTTTTGTCCTAGCTCAGGCAGGATGGCTCCAGAGCAGACTAATTTATGTAGTAGTCAAATTGCTCACTCACAACTTTAATGCCAGTAGCTCACAAAGAATTCTTGCTCACAAGACTCCACAGCTTAGAGGGAACATTGCCTACAACATACCCGAAAGATGGCCGTCCAGCCTCTGCTTGAAAACGTCCAGCGAAGGAGCATCCACCACCTCCCGAGGCAGACAGTTCCACTGCTCGACCACCCTTACAGTTAGGAAGTTTCTCCTGATATTTAGCCGGTATCGACTCCCTTGTAATTTCCACCCATTAGATCTAGTCTTGCAATCCAGGGCAAGAGAGAATAGATCTGCTCCATCTTCTACATGACAGCCCTTCAGATATTTGAAGACTGCAACCGTGTCCCCTCTAAGCCTTC